CAATTTTGATTCCTTTTGCAGCTTTCTGCGCTTATTTCGTTCTCAACAAAATTCCTTCCCACAGTCATGTTTCTTGTTAGACGACTTACTGCTGAAAATGAAGAGAGTTTGGAGCCTGCATCTCCTCCGCGGCTTGCTTCCCAGAGTTCCAGAAATCAGATGCAAAAATCTGACTCAGTAGCAAGTTCAATTCCAGATTCCTCTGTCTCAACTGAAACTGGTGTTGAATACATAAGCCCCCCACTTAAGCATGGGATAGTAACAAATCCTGAACAAGAGGAAACATCCTGTATTGGAGCATCTGACTAATGTAATTTTGCTAACTTCAATTGCTGTTCTGTTGTAAACTGTCCTTCAAGTTTTTTTAGTTCTTTAAGTTAATCTCCAAAACTATATTTTAAGCTGGAGATATTTGCGAATTGGATGCAGGTTCTACCCCGCCCTAGGATTGGAACTGAAGAAAGTGAAGAAGCTTTTGCAAACATTCCAATATCTTACCTTGCCAAATGAATGCCATGTCTGCAAGTGGTGTTAACCTTTGAACTGAGAAACAGGGAAAGAACTTTGCTGTATATGGAGCGACACCCATAATGTTCATTTCTCGTGTATAAAAAATAAATAAGAAAAAAATACCTATATAACATATTTGTACATATGATGTTAGATAATAATTATTATCTTTCAGGTTGATTTGTAATGTGCTGAAGTTCAAAATATTTAATTGACTTTCTTTACATATCAGTACCTTCTGTATTTTTATTTTAATATTTTAGGATGTATTTTGGGACTATGTGATGTTACTCTAAAGGTTTGGTGAAAATTTGAATAAAAGTTGTGGATCCAATTAAATGTATGATTAAAATGAAATTTGAATAGCTTTTTTAGCAAAGCGAAAGCTTTACCAAACTAGAGTATTGTGTTTGAAAGAATCTTAGGTCAGTTAGGAATAGGTTGGATATTCATTATTTTAGGTGAAAATATTTACGTTATCTTGTATTTAAACTAAGCACTCAATGAATAAGGTATGAATTAATTATTTCTTAAAATCTTGTAATTTGTTTTTCAAGGTTCATTAGTTTTTCAAAAATTAATATTTTACTTTTAATGATCTCTTTCTACCGAGGTACTTTTGAAGAGTTTGAAGAGTTTGGTTTCTTGAAAACTTTGATGTTCACTTTTCAGCATAGAAGTCAGATAATGGGGATCAAATGATTTTTTTGTCGTCGATCTTTTGCTAAGTTTTGGTTCAATCTCAAATTCCTCTTCTAATCCTTGATCATAGGTATGATCACCTATAGTTTCATGTGTCCATTTAGAGGAGCTTGCTTTCTCTTTGGACGTATATGAAATACATGATCAAATAACGAAGCATTTCTTGATTTTATTATTGTATTTTTGTGTGTATATATATATATATATATAAGATTTTCAATTCATGCACAATAAATCGTTAAGCACTACTATTATATGCATAGCCAATGGAGATGCAATTTACAGTTTTGTAGCATATTTTTACCTTCTTAGGTGTGTATATATAGCCTTTATGGGAAAACATCCACACATTCGTAGGTATTTGTAGAAAGACTTTTCATTTACATAACTTATATGGACTTTCTTATTTTTCTTTAGAGGCACCTTATTTAAAATGTAATTTGCTGATATCATAATTTTCCCTCTCATGTTTTGAGATAATTCAAAACTTATTAATATTGTATTCATAATTTCTTTAAAGTAAGATTTTTTTTGTTCAGCAACGCCATTTTGCTGAAGTTAATAACGTATTGTCATTTCATATGTGATTTCGTGTTGTGCAAAAAATTTAGCAAATTGTGTTTCATATTCACCACACCAGTCACTTCTTAATACCTTAATTTTCTTGATAAGTTAGTTTTCAATTTCATTGTTTTAGAAAACAA